TTAACACTTAAAATTAAAGCTAACATTTTTATTTCCATCTCATAAGTCCTTCAGGGCTTCTGTATCAATATTTGAAATGTATTTATCAGACTTTTCTTATGTGCCCTTTTTCTTTTCTTTTGTGCTGTTCTTCCCTCCTTTCTTCTCTCTTTCTGCCTTAGTTATAAAGCTTTTGGGGGTTTACTTGGCACAAGATTTTAAGATAGAAATATATTTGTTGCACAAAGCTTTCTGATGAGGAAATAGTTGCAAGATCAGCCCTTTAAAGCAATGCATTAACTGCCTAGGAATTCCTTTGAAAACACCTACGTAGCTATTTTCTCAGACATTTGAGTTGGCTGTATCTAGAAGGCAAGAACTGAAGTGTCCATGCTTTGGTTATACATTCAAATATATTTTACTGACAGCTAAGTTGTGTTCTCAGGTTTTCAATATAGCATACAGTAGGAAAATGAATAAAATTGCTACTTCTTGCTTCTTCACCGCTTCCATTTTTTCTGCCTCTTATCAAGTTGCAGTATAGGACCACTTCAGATCACTACCTCCGTGTGGTTAAGTAATGTTCCTCTTTTTTTTTTAATGTAAGATCATCTGGAGGCAGATTGATCAGATTGATACACTGTGTTTATGTCCTGATTTATGAAGGGAGGGTACTGCTGTGACCTTTCCTGAACACTTTGAAATTGCACATAGCATTTTAAGAAAACTAGTGCCTTTTTTAAAATGATAACAAGTATCAGAGAATAGAGTTAGAGATTATCTCAATGCAGAACAGTAGACTTTTTATTATTATAATTATTTTACACTCCAAGAGAACCAAAAGACTACAAATCATCTATTTATTGGCTATTGCACTTGGTTTGCAAAGTTCATTTTTTTTTTATAACAGCTTTAAGGGAGAAATAGAGCAAAGACTAAACAGTCATGATCATCTTGGACAGTTGCCTAGTAACTGATGTGTTAAATAAAGTGCATTTGTAATGCTTGGACTTGATGCTCTGATAAGTACTGATACTTGTGTCTTATGATACTATGTATTTTGTAGTTCTCAATGCTTTTAGTTAATTGTTAGAAAATAGAGATGATATGGTGTATAATGTAGCACTTGACTTTGTCAGTTGAAGAAAATTGATGGGACCTGTCGGCTTAGAGGTAGGAGGTATGTTCTAACTTGCTCATATTTTAGATACCTTGGGAAGGGTGTACGAGTCTTTAGAAGGAAAGCTCTAGGAAGGCTTCGGTGTGTTCTCCAAATCTCCTGTGTCATGGCAGCAAACAAATATGGTCAGAATGGACGTCTAGGAGAGCTGGGCTTACCTAAGCTCCAGGAGGGCTGAGAAGAAGGTACATCTGCTAGCTGGGAATGTGTCTGAAGATGAGTTTCTAAAAAGCAGCATTTAATGTGCAAGAAAAGGGAAAGTGGTGATAACTGCTTGCAGAGCCCATAGAGTGAAAACTAGAGAGGCTTTTCTAACTTTGGAGCTGTGGGACTCATGAGCAGTGTCTGGGGTTAACAACAAACATAATCAACCAGCTCTTGCCCTGCATCCACCTACAAAGCCAAGGGACAGATGCCAGATATGCGAGGGAATCAATATACTAACCTTATTAAGAGCAGATTCCCCTATACTTCTATTTTCAGCCAGCCTGTATATTCCCCTTCCCGGCTTCCCTATCACCCTGATGATATCAGATGTCTTTTTTTTTTTTTTTTCTGTCTTTGTACTGAAGGTAGAATAAGTAATTGATCAGTTTATTTCCACCAGGTTCAAAGTGAAAATAGATAAATTTAGGAAGGGGAAGCATCAGAGAGCATTTGGTACTTTTTGGAAGAGGTCACTTTACCTGTACATTTTTTTTAAATAATTTATTAATCAGAATTGATGAATTTTTAGAGATGGTTTAAAAGATAGGTAAATACAAGACACGTATTCTTGTTTTAGAGGGATTTAGAGAGCAACAGCAAGAATAGGCTTACAAGAAATGGCACAAAGAAAGATACCTTGCAGAAGTATCAGATTAGCTCGAGAAAGGGTACTTTTTCTGCATCATTAATTCTGTGACCTTCACAAAGGAAAGACTTTTGGTTAATAGAAGATAATGGAGTATGCTGTATAGCTACTTAAATGAAGTAATTTACTTCATGCCTCTTACATGCACAGGTATTGGTTGTATCTAAAATGAAAATAACATCAGCTTTTGTAGTAATATAAACACTGAATACATAGTTACAGTTTTCTTTGTCTTTCTGCTTCTCCTCTACATGAAATATGTGGCCACATACAAATATCAGCCTAGCTGTTGGAATTGTGTGCTGGTATATTACAGTGAAATGCCATACTTTGATCATGCTCTCACTAAGATTTGCCACTTCTACTTAAAAGCTCTGGACTCTAATAATAAATTTTAGCTGTAGCCAGAAAAGAATTTGATAAATTGGCTTAAACTAGAACCATAAATCAGAGCAACTGGTAATATAAAAGCATCTGAATAGCCTGTTCCAAATTAGAGTTTTGGCATAGTTTCTTTTCAATTTCTGTCATTCACAGGAACATAACATTCTTTTAAAAAAGTGGATTATTATTTTTAGATACAATTAATGCACTCTGGAGAGGCACGTTTATTCTCATATGCAACAGAGATGTTTCCTTCAGTATATGAAGTCTGGAGGTTGTGAGCATTTGTGGTTGCTAAGCTTAGCTGTCTTTACAAACAAGCTAAGTTAGTCTTGGAGCCAGCGGACAGTGTGAATCTGGTCCTCTGGCCTCCTTGTACTTACACATGCCCTGGCTCCTGCCACCAGCTGCCACTCGGGCTGTCCACTTGCTGTCCCTCCATCCCCTGCCTTCCCAGTTCCCTCGTGCACAGACACATACACGTAAAAACGTCTGTCTGGTAGTTGTTCTAGAGCTGTGACCTTAGCAGTAGCTGTTCCTGAAATCCCAGAATCTCTCCAGTGGCAGACTGGGAACTGCTGGTCCCTCCAGTTGCCAGCTGTGAGACCCGTTGGTCTCTCCAGCGTCCGGCGCAGACTTAGGGCCAGTCTGATTCCTGGCTCCCAAGCCCCTCTTCTGCTCGTGGACAGCCCAGGTTGGTGCTGCCTGGCACTCGCGTGCACTGACGCAGGCACCTCACACAACACATGTGCTCTCTCCCCTTCCACTGCTGCAGGAAGCCATTTGGGCCCCATGACGGGTAGTCCCACTCCAGTTGCAGCACTTAGATCTCCATAAACATACATGTGCAGAGCCCTTTATCCCAGAAAAAGGCTATATTTGGTGTTTAATGGGGAAAAGAGGACAGACTGCAGTGGCAGGGTACAGGGCATGGAACAGCAGCCTGTTGACAAGTGACTGGTCCTGTTTATCCCCTCTTCTCTGTGCTGACCCACACTGACTCTTCCCCATATCACCTGGATGCCTCTCCTTCCCTGCCTTCAATTCTTCCCCTACACCTCCTGTATTATGTCTTCTCAATCCCCAGACACTCTTCTGCATCCCAAAATGAATCCCATACTCTGGCAGGCAACATCTGTAGGCTGTGGGGTGACAGAGGAGACTGTCCTATTCACTGAGCTGGTGGGTGTCACACCTGACACCACCTTTAACAATTGCATCACCTAACATTTATACAATATTAAATAATTCTCCTGGTGAATTGTGTTAAAGTATATTAACAACACCAGTGCTTTATTAAGTGAATTGTTTTAAGGGGATGTATTTAGAGGATGAGCAAGTTAGATAAACTATTTGTGATGAGAGGCTTTTTTGACACACAGATTTTTGCTTCAGTAGTAACCTATCCCAAAGGGTTTGAGAGCTTGTGAGTCTAGTGATGCTGCCGTAAACTTTAAACTGTAGTGTGTGTTTGTATCTATAATATACATAGATAAATGAACTATAAAGCTATATATGTAGTTTATATATAAAGAATTTGTAAGACATATATATGTATATAGTTATACAATACAGATAGGTAGAAACTATATGGAGGTATATCCAACAATATATAGCCAATGTTTTGCAGTGCTGGTTTATAACCAATTTATTTACAAGTGTATCAGTTCACTGTTGCAGCATCAGTAGGATCACAACAACTTCACTCATCCAAGTCCTTTGGTTTAGGGCATTGCACTGCCAGCAAGGCATAAATTTTTACTAAATATACCTAAAGTAAATATAGAAAATGTAGTTTAGGTAATTATAAGGATGAACTATATGTTATATTATAGCTTTATACATATATATACACACACAGTATATACAGAACTTTAAAAGTTTATATATGTGTGTGTATAAATTATATGTATATCTATTTGTAAATGTGAGAAAAAGATGCATGATCTGGGTTTTCAGAGGGTTGTGTTTAAAGGGTGATTTCTTGGGTTCTTCCTCCTTGATGATCAGTCACTTGCTAGACATCTTGGTCTGTCACATCAGAGAGATTTCAAAAGAAAAAGAGAAAAGGAGTTTATTGGAAAAAAATGCTTTCTAGGAAGCTTCTTTGGCATTCAGAAAAATGTAAACTGCTTCTCTTAATTTTTGCTTAAACCTTTGACTGGCTGTCATGATGTTAGTGTTACAAATCAGACTTGGACTCAAAGTAATGAGTTTTAGACCTCTTAAATTCTAGTTAATGTGATTGTCTGCTGCTTTGCAGAAGATTCTACATTATTTAGAAGGCTTTCTTTGCAACATGGGGTTTTATGATTTGATAAGCAAGAATATGAAATATAGCTTAAATGAGCACTTGGGACCTGTGCCAGATAGTTTACCGAAAGTGTATTAGCTTTATATCTGATCTGTAATTTAGAAACAGTGAGTTAGAAGAAACATTTAGAACTCCTCGATTAGTACTGTCCTAAATCTTCCATTTCACAGGGCTATTTGCCAGTGAAAACACTAAAGACCAAAATCATTCTAGAGTAATTTTGGTTTTAAATTGAGAAAAAGAAGTGTATTTTAATCATGTTTAATATGAATATTTTTGTTTTCTTAAAGGAATTACCTACAGTTCTGCTTATTCATCAGATGAATAGACATGAAGGTGCATGGACCATACTACCATTAATGAGAGAGTAAGTATACTGAGTACCAGTTGTTTTCAGCATTCTGTGTAATCTGTGTAATTCTGTGTAAATATGAATTACTCAAACTTTATTTTTTTCAGAAGCAAACTTTTTTGGTTGGAATTTGCAACTTTATCTTCTCACCTTGTACCCTCACATTTTTTTTTCTTTTTCCAATTTTCCAAAGGATTTTTCTGTTAAATTTCATTATATTATAGAGAGCCATTTTCAATGAGAGGAATTAAAGAAGAAATAGTATAGTGTAACTGAACAGCTATCTTCCTTTAATAGTCGTGTGTGAAAAGTAATCTAGTGAAAAGAAATAGAAATTATGTTCTTTTTCTCAGTTGTTCACACTGTAAGATATGAGGTGTGAAAAAATGCTGAATTTTTGATTCTTCATATTGGTAACATAAAGTTGTGTCTGTGTATATTTTATATATATAATGTAATAGATAATGAATAATACCTGTTGGGGCGTTCTATCATATATTTCTTATTGTGTTTCTAAGCAGTATTCATCCTCCGCAGTGAAGAGGTGTAAGTTTCATCATCCCTTTGATAGGTTTTCATCTTATTATGCTCTGATAATAGTACAGGAAATTTTGTATATCTTGTCTTAGCTTATGCAGAAGGTTCTAAGGGAGGTTTGCTGCATTTATTCAGTACTATTACAAATATTAGGAAACAAATTCCATTTGTTCCATTTCAATTTGTTCCATTTCAGGAAGTCCTAAAGCTTCTTGATACTGGAGGCTGTCCTTTGTCTAAGTCATTTGAAATACATGACAGAGGCTCTGCAGTTTCTTGAGTCAATGTTATTCTTCCTCTGATTTAAAAAGCATTACTCAAAAAGATTTTTAGTTGTTTTTTTTTTTTAGTACCAGACTCGTCACAACGGAGGATTTATTATACTCTCTTTTTGTTGCTGTTTTTCCATTACTTTCTATGTGAGCACGAACATGAAAATGGTGCTTGCATATTAACTAAAAATATATATATAAACCTCAAAAATAGCAAAAAGAGAATAAAAGTAAACTGAAAAACTGGAGGATCAGAATCATCTTTGTTTTCCTTTCTTAGCCCTATCTTGAGTGACTTAATGGCTACTCTTCTGAATTATTTGTGTCCCAATTACAAGCTTTAAAAGAAATAGCTCTTGCAAGATAACTCCACCACCACGCTAATGCTTAGAAACAAAAATGCAGATGCTAGTTCATATGACAAAGCAAAAGAAATTTCTTCAGTAATCAGAAATGGAATCCCAATGGTTTTCTGTCTTGAAGAGAATTCTCAAATAACCAGTTCCTTGTGTCTCTAGCTTTGCTCAAGACTTCTAGCAAAAGAGCACAATGAAGACATAGAGCAGTTAAGAAATATGTACATGTTGTGGTACTGCTTAGTTTTTGTTTATTTGTTTGAAGCGGATAGGAGAGGAGAAAGAGAGAGTAATTAAGTGATTAGCCGACGCCAGGTGTTACGGTGCAAGTTGCGCTCATATGAAAACTACTTTCAGTAGAATGACTTTCCTCAGTTCTTTAGATATCACTGTTTTTAAGGAGGTTTGTACCTACTTAACGACAACTCCTGATCTTTATTTCTTGGGCACAGATTAACTTGTATAGAGCATTTTTTTTCTGAGGACTTCTATCAGGTGTAATCTTAAGATCTCTATCACTATGGTGAAGTTTACAGTGATTAAAGTTTTCATGAAGCTTTTAGGTTTGGTTCAAGGATGTGGTCAATGTCAAACAGTGGTAATAAAAGCTGTCATTAGGCAGTTTCAGGATTACTGCAGTGGGTGGTAATGTCCAGCAGTGGGTCTCCATGGAAGAAAAATCAGGGTGCAGAGCAGAGGGTAACTTAAACTGCTGTCTATAAACTTCTGCCTTTATAGGTGTCTATTCCTATAGTGCTTGCATATTTTTGAGTTGACATTCTTTATATTCTTTTCTGTATGGGATAACTAGTAATATATAAATAGGTAGGATCGGAGGCAGTATCTTCATCTGTTTACTATAGTGCTATATTACACTTTACTATACTGTAATTCTAAGTAGTAAAAGTTTCTTTCTGTGTGTAAATTTCCAAGTGGTTATATCTGGGGGAGTGGAGGTTGACTCTATGATTGTGTTCAAAAGCCAGTTTTGTAGTAAAATGTTACTTTTTTTTTTTTTTTTAAAAAAAAAAGCTTATCTGTTACCTATGGTGGGAATTCCTCATGGATTTTCTTCTGTGAAGAAGATACAAGAATACAAGTTGTAAAGCTTCTGGAAACACTTGGAAGATTTGATGCATCCAAGGTAAAAATAAAAATTTAGATATTTAATTTACTTTAGATTGTACTTGCATGGTTTTGGTATTATGTTTTGTGAAACAGAATTATATATACAAAATTTTGGAATTCTTATAAAACAATTTCTTTTGTCCAGAATTTCATGTTACAGCATTGTCTGTATGGTTCAGCCCCTGGCTTTTGGATAGAGACAGCATAAAATGAGGGATGATAGAGTCCTTATGTTGAAGGAGGGAATGAGCAAGGTATTGAACATGAAGCAGTACAAAGGCATGTTGGAGAGCTATTAAAACTGAATAAAAGAAGATTTTTTCTGCAGATCATCTGAAAATTATGTAGCAGCAGTAGAAAGGTGCATATCATCTACTGTGTGTCTTCTTCCTATCCATCATCAGTTCTGATTATCATGAGGCAGGATGATTTGTTAACTCTGACCAAATATGTTAGAGCATTTATTGCTTTATGTTTCTGAACTGTCTTGGTGGTAAAAAAAAAAAAAAAAAAAGAAAAAAAAAGAAGTAAAATCTTTACCTGCTGGAAAGGAAAGACCACCAAAAGACTTGTACAGCAAATAAAACAGCCAGTAACCAAAAAATAATGTAAACTTGGCAATGCAAATGGTAAGCTGTTAATATTTGGAATTCTAAATGTTCAGCCTGATGTCTTTCATTGCCTGGACAAAAAGAAGCCAAAATATCGTGTTGGAAATATGTTTCTTCTCTTTATTGTTACTTTGATCAAGTATTGAACTGCACTTTGAGTCTCAATTTAGCTCAATTTAGTGTGTTTACTTCTGTTGCAGGTACTAGGCCTTATCATGTTTCTGCGCAATTCTCTTCTAAAATGATAACCATAATTATTTAGAGATCTTATATTTTTAAACTACTCTGTCTTCAAAATGGACTACTAAATATTTTCAGGCCTTTGGAACATACTGTCTTTCTTTTTTCAGAAGCATCTACTTCAAACTGATATCCTGAGAATACATAGATAATTTGTTTTTGGATGCTGTCCACATGCCAGTTTTCATCTCTTCCTTGCAGTACATGTAAATGCTACTGTAATAAATTATTCTGTTTCAGTCTGCATTGAAAGGGAAATGAAATGTTCTGCTTTTATACAGAGTAATGGTCATCTTAGTATAACAGTCCATAACTGATTCCTTGTATTAAATAATAGTCCATCAGTTATATAACTTAAAATGTTGAGTTAGACCAGAATGAGCTCACTCAATTTTATCATGTCAGCAGTGGGCGTAATAAGAAGCTGGCACACATTAATCACAATAAGATACGTGCAAGCAGCATATAAATAGCTGGTGAGTCTGCAGCTTTTCAGTCTGCATATTTAGAGATTAGTAACAGAACTATTAAGACTGATATGAATGTAATGTGTGCGGAGGTAGAGATGTGAAAGCACCATGGTCCTTGTGAGTTAAGTAGATACAAAAGTGAGTGGGTAAAGTCAACTTGCTCTAGCAAGCTGTATAAAATCATAGCAAGCTATGTAAAATCATCACTGCTGCCCTGAAGTGTAGTATTGATTTCATTGCATCAAATTTCTCAATATTAGTTAAAGTGTTTCAAAGATGCATAGTGCCCTTACTAAATGGAGGTGACTTTTGACGTTTTTGAGGTACAGTATTTTAACTGATCCTGCGGATGGTATTTATTCACAATATGTTTAATTATTTTTTCACTCACTTTTTTCACACATAGAATATTGATGGCCATCGTACCTCTTGTAAGCTGCATTACGGGTTTCCTGGTATATAACTGATTTCATCTTCCCTTCTAAGGCTGACCCGCACACATCAACTTGTCCTATATAACACTATTTACCATTTAGATCTGAACAGATGAGCATGGAGAGTATCAGCTATAACCTAAAATGCCTTTGAGGTGTTGATTTGTGACTTAATATTTCCAGATTATGATATTCTGTGAAAGCTGGAGGAGGGTATATGAATGGCTTTAATTTTCTATATTTTAGAGAAAGGAAATTAATTTTTATTATTATTTTGGTTCCTAAGCTTGAGAGAGTTTATAGTGTTTTTTCAGTGTGAAAATGAGCATACAGTTAGGATAAGAAAAGATTTTTATGCACTAAGGCAACAGAGTCAAGAGTCCGAAGGGAGTTGTCTGCAATTAGTACTGTTAAACAAAAAAGTTAATATTACCTGTTTCTCAAGTGAACAGAATTCCTGTGTTATGAATATATTGAAGCCCTGGAGGCCCTAAAGTTAGAGTTTAGAAGTGCTTGCACAAAATCCTTCTAATAATTATTTTGACTTTTGTCCAAAGAGATTATCTTTGTACATAAAAATTGGTGCATTTGCCCATCCTCTTTTACCTCCCAATATTTTCTTATTTTCTAAATCCATCCAGTGGGCAGAACTGGATCCTTCCAATAAAGAAGGGGAAAAATTGGGTCTTTTAGGCTTGAAGGTATAAATCACAGGGTAAGTAAGGTGCCAGAAAGGAGGGAGGGCTCCCAGCAGGGATGGCATCCCAGGACTTGGCCGCAGAAGTCAAAGCAAGATAAATTTCATGGTTGCTTATAGCAGTCCTGGCCACAGGCTGGCCCCACTGAAGGACCTTTGTAGACACAGGGCAAGCTCCGGAAGTGTGGGATAGATGAGTGAACCATGAGGTGGATTAGGAACTGGCTGGATGGCAGCCACCAGAGAGTGGTGATCAGCGGTGCAGAGTCTAGCTGGAGGCCTGTAGCTAGCGGGGTCCCCCAGGGGTCAGTCCTTGGTCCAGTCCTGTTCAATTTATTCATCAGTGACCTGGATGAAGGCACAGAGTGCTCCCTCAGCAAGTTTGCTGATGATACCAAACTGGGAGGAGGAGCTGATATCCCAGAGGGCTGCGCTGCCATCCAGAGGGACCTGGACAGACTGGACAACTGGGCGGTGAAAAACCTCATGCAATTCAACAAGGCCAAATGCAAGGTCCTGCCCCTGGGGAGGAATAACACCAGACACCAGTACAGGCTGGGGACCGACCTTCTGGAGAGCAGCTCTGCGGAGAAAGACCTGGGTGTCATGGTGGATGATAAGTTGACCATGAGGCAGCAGTGTGCCCTCGTGGCCAAGAAGGCTAATGGAATCCTGGGCTGCATTAAGAAGAGCATCTCTAGCAGGTCGAGGGAGGTGATCCTGCCCCTCTACTCAGGGGGAGTGATCCTGCCCCTCTACTCATTTATAACAATCTCCGATTGTTATAATACAAAGTATTATGGCAGTGTTTGGTCTGAATGTATCTGTAATGAATGGAGCTATTATTTTGTGAAAAATAATCAGCACAAATTTGAATCTATTTTAATGAAGAGCTCAGAAACTGCCAGAAGAAAAAAAAAAGGAAAAAAAAAGGGGAAAAAAAAAACACAGTCTGAATTACTGTCATAATGCAAAGAACACCTCCAGTCTTGAAATATTTAATATAACCATTAAGGTGATTCAGAGGATAAAGATATTTAAAAGGTATTTGCTTTTCAGGTTCGCTAGCAGACAAGAGCTGTAGATTAAACATTTGGGAATCCAAAATGGAGATTCATTCAAGCCCTGAATGTGCAATGTTTTTGAGTGCTCTGTCTAATCAGTAGACAGTAATGTCAGACTTAGTGCTCTTTGCACGAGTGGAATGCAGGGCTAAAGATGGGGAGTGAAAAGACAACATGTATCTAAACATTTAAAGAACTGCCTTTTGTAATTTTTTTTATCAAGTAGAATTTTTACCTGTCTTACCATGAGGAATATACTTCCCATGTTCTTGTTTTCAGGTTTGCTTTATTTACCTTGAATGAAGTCTTCTTCTTCACTAAGAGGATACTGTAGGTGAACAAGATTGCTTTCTGTATTCCTTTACAGGAGTGGTTTTTGGGTAAAGCATTGTATGATGAAGAATCTACAATAATTCACCACTATGCCTTTGCTGAAAATCCTACAATCTTTAAATTTCCAGATTTTGCTGCTGGTTGGGCACTTAGCATTCCACTTGTTAACAGGTAAGTAAGTGTTGAATTTTCAATCACTCCTTAATTGCTTATTGAGAATAATTAAAAGTTTTAAATTTACATCTTTTTCTTTTCTAGATGCTATTATTAATGCTAGCATCTAATAATTAGTAGCATTAGATGCTATTTAAATTAGTTAGAATTTGCTATGGATTAATATTTTCTATAGGTAAAAGCTATGTCTACAGTACAGCTGAAGATTTTACTACAAAAAATGTAGCTATCCAGTCAAATTTTAATTTTGACCTATCTTTGAATGGTGCTTATACTCCCTCAGTGCAGGATGCTCCACCAGTTAATTTATTTGACTTCGTGGATTGGTTTTGTGCGCTGAACTCTTGCTCCTGTTGACCCGATATTATCATGCCAAGCCTTTGGTTTCAATCCAAGGTGTGTAGCAAGACATTCAAATACTGTGCAAATGCATGTTAATTTATAGCTACCTCTGGGTATATCTACATAGATTTGTACTCCTACTATAGATTTACCTTGAAAAAAAAATATTGACAGAATTCCATTTCTTTTTTGTTCTGCATGTTCAAATATAAGTATCATAAGTAAACACTTAAGAATTTGTTAGTATACATACACAGAAATACATTTCCACATATAATTCTGTAGCATTGCTGTACCTGTTAGGCATGATTTATTTTTCTTAGCTTTGCCTATCTAAAAATTAACATCACGTTAACCTGTGGCTGATACTGTTTGTGATTTTAAAAAAGAAATTTCCTCTAGACAGCTGATGTATTCCTGGATCTTAGGGTGACTCTGTAAGTGCTCATCTTATAGAGAGAACTTAGTTCTGAACTGCTTAGGTCAGATTGGATGTGTAGTTTTTAGGTAAGATTTGAAAAGTTCCTAGACCTCAGAATTTGAACGCACCTTGTAGCAAAAATCAATATTTTTGCAAATGGAAGGTGCCTAAATATTGTGCTTTGGAATTCACGAAAAGAGAATGTCTGAAGTTCAAGATGGTGATCAGTCTGCAGCTACTATTGCCTTTAATCTGTTGAAAATGTTAGGCCACATCCACTCTAGATGAGATCTTCCTTCTTGGGCAGAAAAAAATGTGTTGAAATACGTGCGGAAAATGAATATTATCATCGTCACTGTGCTCGGATGCAATAAAAGTTGATATGAAAAAAGGCATGTTGCTTTTTGGGACAGTAAATACAGAAATAGGATTTTTTTTGAAGAAGATTAACAGTATGCAGTTAAGTATGATATTTTTGACAGTGATTTATTATTTTGTAAGTATGGTAGTGATTATTTTGTAATACAGTAGGACTATGGCATTAGAAGATATTAAAATGTTATTATTTAAAATACTTTTAAATATGCTAGAAAATATATCATTTAAAAATATATATTATTTTTGTGAAATATCTATAGGCAGCTCTTTATCTAGAGCAGTATTTCCCTAACCCTTTGTGTCAAAAGTCTGCTGTTGGTCTGCATTTCTCTCTGCTTGCTCTGCAGCTTACCCATGAATTATTTTTGAAAAATATTTTTGGTTTTATAGATCAGCTACAGATTACTTATCATGATCATGAAAACTACAGTTAAGAATTGCTGATTCTAGAAACTTTTAGGCAATTTGTGTATATTTAATAGATGTAAGATGTAAGTCTATTTGTTTATGTAAAGGGTCAGTTGATGCCAGTCATACGTTCCTTTTGTTCATGCTTTTTGAAGTAAGTTTCATCATCTTTATTGTACAGGCTTGCAAACAAGTTGAAGAGTGAACCACTCAAGTCAGACTTTACAATAGATTTAAAACATGAGGTAAGCAGTGGGTTATTCCTGTGATGTGAGTAAGAAAAAAATCTCTTTGAATCTTCATAAAATAAAGAAGGAGTAACAGCTTTTTTTAAGGCTTGTTTGAAAGTTTTAATGGCACATTTAATTTATTTCCCTTCCTTTAGAATATTATGACATGTGATACTTCAAAACCATGCTGCAAGCATAGAGGAGTTCATGAAGAAAATTGCATTCCTATTAACATTACATGATTGTATACAGTGAGGTACCTTTGAAGACCTATTTTACAGAGCGTGAAAAAGCCTCCAATTCATGAAGTTTCAACTAGTATGAATGGCATCTCAAATACTAGACAGCCATGCTCACATTTTAAATTAGTGCAGAAAAACTAATATGATGGGTTTGAGGAACGTGGTAGTTGTGTCAGTGTGAACAGCCAACATTGCAACTTGTATGTTAAAAAACGTGTTTGTTTGTTTGTTTTCCACTGGTTTGCAAGAATCAACTGCCAAAAGGTGGCTGCTGGGTATTTCACAGGATAAGGGAGCTGATTTGAAGAAACAAAAGAGACATAAATAAAGACTGGGGAATTTGAAGCAACACCTATGCTACCCTTATTTCTGAAATGTGTTTTTTCTGCTTCCAACCACCCAGGGTTTTGTAGTGTCACCAAACTGAACACTAGAACAAGGGGAGAAGGGGAGGATGAGCCTGGGGTAGGCTATTAGATTTTGGCCTGAAATCATGTGTGATTTTGACTTTATTTTGTGTTTTTAAAGCTCTTAAAATTCATCTGTAAACTCTGGCCCCAGGCTGTATTAAGAATGTACTTAATATTACATTTTCTTATACTATAATGGTTACAAACTTCCTCATATCACATAAATTTATACTGTACTTATAGTGGATAAATCAATAGTGTATTTAAATGCATTTGGCTTTGTGCCAACAGCGTTCTTTCACTTGGTTTTCCCTCCTTGTCTGAGATATTTCTAGAAGACAATTGGACCACTGCACCCCTCGTTTTGCTTCATGAAACAAGCCCGCAACCTTGCTGGCCTGCATTCCTCTTGTTCATTTTTTAAATATAAGAACTTACATCTCACACTGGTCATCTTCCTGGGCGTGTTATCTTGAAGCCCAGTATTCCAGGCTACCTCAGTGCTGACAAAATCTCTAATTGAAGTGCCATCAAAAAATGTCATTAGCAGACTCTTAATTTGTGCACCATGGTAGTTAATGAAGACCAATTGATGGCAAAAAATTTCCATCTCTCTTCATATTCAATTAGCAATTCTTTGCCTGTGTTCCATTTCAGATTCACTGCTGTTGGTAGCTTACTTCAGCCCTATGCTTATCATTTCTACACAGTCTCTTGTCATCTCTCCCTGGAGACAGTTCTGTTCCCCCACATTTGTTTTATAAATCACCATTTCCTCTTTCTTCAATCTTTTTTTTATCTTGCTACATCCTTCTCACATGAGTCATGATTGACAGCAAATCAAAAGATATAATCTGAGATCTTTAATGTTTGTGTATAATGTTTAAATTCATGGAGGATGATAAATGTCTTGGTTTTAAATATCTTGGTTTGACAGAGCCCTAATAACATGTGCTTCTAGTCCTTGGTATTCTCTGTATCTTTTTTTTTTTCCTTTTCTTCTACTACATCCCTAATGCTTATATCACTTTCCATATGGAAAGCCAAACTTACAAATATGTGAAAAGCCTTTTATCAAGCTGGTTTTCATTTGTAGATTTTTTTTCTAGACTTTTTAAAATGTATGTAATACAGCACATTCTCTTCACTCTGATGGTTACTCAAAACCAGCAGTGAATGATTATTTTTGTATAGCTATTGTTAGATATGAACAAAAGACTTATGTATTTTATGTCTTTTTATCTTCAGGCTATTCTTGCTGTTTTAGGTACTGTCTATCTTCCTCTTCTGTAGCACCAAAAATGGCATTCTTACATCTCAAATATGGTAGGCTAAAACTATACTAAGGGATTATTCTATGAAAAATCTGCTTTCTGAGCACATCATGAACTTTCATAAATGATGAGTGCATAACTCAAGTTATAATTAAATATTTTTTGTGAAGCATGAACATTGCTTTTTTTGTTGTTGTTGATTCATGTATTAGACATAGCTGAATTCTGAGATAATACACTCTTCAAATGTGTTTCAAACTCTTTATAAAATCACATCCTTTGCTCTTATGTAGCCTTCTAACCAAGGCAGGGTCAGGAACAGTTTACATGCCATAAGGGGAATATAGTAACAAGGTAAAAAGATAAAACAGTGAAGAAACAGACCACTCACGGCAAGGCTAAGAGAAGGTCTGTGTGATTACGACAGTTCAGTTATAACCAGCAGTTTGTAGAAATGTCATCAGCTGGTTGTGTTCTGTTGTGTGGCTATATCTGGTGTCCAGAATCTGCCAGAGCTAGAAGCTGAATTTTCAAGAATATGAGACTGTTTTCAAACCTGTCCCCGAGCCCTGACAGTGCCTGAAACAAACTGGCATCTGTTACATTCCCATTCAGTGCCAGGAATGACTTTGTGTAGGTTGATGAGGTTTTTTCAGGAGGTTGATCTGAACAAGATGGGCAAAAAGGAACTAACCTCTGACTTGAAATACTTAAAGTCTATAACTGGTTTGACCTCCTAGCTATGTCTAGACCATATGTAGTACACTTAGTGTGCCCTGAGTGCTTCCTGAACACTGTAGGGAGGAGGAAGGAAGGATCTGGCTCTTCTAATAACAGCTTAATGAAAACCTGCGCCTTACAAAGAGCATGATTTGGGTGCTGGTCCCTACATAACATGGAGGTTTGAAGCTCCTCGTTCAAACCGCATTGAAGCAGGTTCCTGCTTCCCAAGCAGGCGTAAGATGGAGGGAGAGTTATTTTCTCATTGGCTTTGGTCTGTGCTGGTTCTAGTCCCATATTTTAGTGAAGAGCTTGTTTCCATGTAAGAATCATTGAGAATATGTTAAAGAAGAACTGGAAGCAGCAGCTAGAATCCAAGAGGAATTTTCCTCCTTTGGAGGAGATCTCTTTCCTCTGTGCTGTAGAGTCAGGCTCCTCTTTGCTACTCTATCTTGTTGGCTCCATGAATCTCAGTTTTCACACAATAATTCCACTTTGTGAGGAAGTATATCTGGTTTGTTAGCTTGGGCACCCTTTTGAAATGGAGGAGCCGTAACTTCTGATTGAAGTAGCAGAAACAAGCCCAAAATACATATCTGTATTTTGAGCTTATGCTTAAACAGCTTTTATACAAAAGGAAAATGCTCTCCGATTTTGAGATACCTGTCCTTGAAAGAGACTAAGCATTCACAATCCAAAGTAGATGGCAGCGCCACTGAGAAATCCTGACTTCGCTGAATGCAGAGAGATTTCCTCCCTTTAAATTTTTAAGAACTTTTTTTATTATTACTTTCCGATTTTGAGATACCTGTCCTCGAAAGAGATTAAGCATTCACGATCCAAAGTAGATGGCAGTGCCACTGAGAAATCTTGACTTCACTGAATGCAGAGAGATTTCTTCCCTTTACATTTTTAAGAACTTTTTTTATTATTACTTTTTTAAAAAAAGTGGCTGAAATGAGGTTAATTTTTTAACTAACCTGAGATAGGTAGCCAACATGGACGATTCCTGACTGAAAACTTAGTCTGGCCAAGCTACAAGAAACTTTGCAACTTTTGAGTTTCATTATTGATTTTTAAATAATTTTAAATTGTCACCAAAGAATGAGGCTCTTTTGCAACACAGCATATTGCCACATAGAAGGAATAGTGCTAGCTTTTTATTTTATTGAAAAGAAGATGCCAATATTCATTTCATCCCTTCTCCTACAAATTTAGAGATGAGTTGTTTTCATATGCTTAAACATGTGAATCCAATTTTAATTCTTTAAACCTTGACCATCCATAAAATTTCCGTTACAGCAAAAAATTAGATTTTGGCTCTAGAAATGTGAAGGAGTAAGATATGCAGCAAGTTAATCAATCAAGACACAAATCCTCAATGACATCCAATATTTTTAACTGTTTCTTATTAAGTTTATCCTGTAATACAATAATTTGTGTGCTTGCCCTGGGAATTTTTATCTAGTTACTCTACTCATTGATATAAATGTTTTGCATTTTGATAGATTGCACTATATATTTGGCAGAAAGGGGATGGACCACATCTTACTCCCGTGCCTGAGTTCTGTACAAACGAGGCGAACTCATATAAGGTTGATCATTGTGCAACAACATTCAGTAATTTTCTGCCACTTTGTGTAAGTACCATGTTTTAAATACCACTTGCTTAGCAAAAGTAAAACCCTTAATAAAATGCATAATACTTGACTTAAAAATATCTCACATGTTAAGAAAATGATTTTCAATAAAATCAAAACAAAAAAGAACTCTGTTAGCATTTTCTTTTGTTTTACTTTCAGCCTTCTGTCATGCACAGTATTTCCTGGCAAGCAATTACCACATATGATTTAATCACAGTGTTTGAGCAGCCCATGGTCTTTACAGTATTTCTCCCTATGATTCTATGATATACTAACATCCAGATAGTCTCATTTTAGAAATGGGAATCTAAAACTTTATGTGTCTAAAGATAAAAGATAAAATGCAATACAGATTTTAAGTGCATTTAAGTACAACCCCTATCTCTAGGAGAATACCTTTAAAGATATCACAGGTAACTGTAACTAGGGTCCAAAAAGTGACTGCTATGTTTGCAGGAAAACAAAATTCTAGGTGCCAAAAAAGAAAATAAACATGTTTTCAGTAGAGTTGAAGCTTGCAGGTTCTGGTATGAACTGTTAGGCTTTTCTTTCCCAATATGATACAGATTCTCATAATGACTGTTTTCATTAAGAAAATATCTTTTTTTTTGGGGGTGGGGTAAATCATTCTTAGTACAACAAATTCTACTGCTCTAGTTTTCTTAATGATAGGTATTTTAGTTCAAGTTAGAATGCTACATCAATGGAAAAAGTATTTTGTTATTTCAGGAATTTGAAACGACTAGTGACACACTTTGAAGGGACAAAAAATTATTTTCTACTGTATTAGTACGCTATTCTACTTGACAAGCTATGCAATGAAAACATATTATTCTCTGTTTTATTATAGGTATGGAGCCTGCAATTACAAACTCATTTTTTTGTTCTATTCATATAGGGAGAGCCAGTGAAAAAGGAAGATGTTTTTGTTGGTGTAAAAACATGTCGGAAATTCCATGCAGACAGAAGTAAGTTACTGATTATTCAAGGTAGTAGCTCAGTACAATATAGCTTAGGAAATTAATATTCAAAAGAACAAGCTCATAAACTATATGGCTGTATCGGTCTTGAAACTAAATGTTTGCAAAATCCACTGGGAAGAATGAAAGCTTCTGAATTCTGACAGTGTTGTTTGGATAGAACATTTTTGTTATTTGGAATTGTTCAGGAGTGCTCAAAATGCCTGAAACAAAAAGTTATGGTAGTTTGATGTTTCATTGTTAGTACTTGGGTGGAAAAAGCTATTGAAACTACATACCTGAACTAAAATTATGGCTGAAGTGTGCTTACAGTGATCTAAATTGGAGCTATTGCATTAATATGCTTCACTGTATCACCCAGCTATGTACCATTTTGTGTGCTGGCAATGACACTTGTGCAGCTGTAGAGTGAGCTGGTTCAGGAATTTGAGCAGACTAAGAGCTGTCTCCACTCCTTCCTTGTTTTTCTTTTCCCATAAAAGAAGTAGGCAGCTTAAACTGTTGTGTTGCTGTTATCTAATGTCACCGTATACATTCGGATGTGTACAGGTGTTCTGTAATGCTTGTAATAAGAAATTCTGCAAAATGCATTCACAGAGAAGACTCCCTACTTCAGCTAATGTACAATAAGTGTCAGCTAAGTTGAGCTAGAACTCGTATTTACAAAACTTGGTGGGAAAAATTCCAAGTCCACTGATTTAATGGAAGATACTCTGTCTACTGGTCCATTCTAATTTACTTCTGGGCATTTGTTTAACAAGCAAATTTACAGGAAATGAGCTGCATTTTGTAAGATCTTGAATACTCAGGTAAGTAACACTGTCGCCATTATGCCTATTTTATGTATCAGCTTAAGTTAAAATGATTATCGATGGAGAGAAAAGTTGATGGAGAGAAAAAAAGGCAAATTAAGTGATGACCGATAATTATGTAGAATTTTTGGTGGCTTTTGCTATGCCTTTTGTCAGAAGACAGGATGAAGTAAGAAATTCTTTTCTTAGTTAAGCTCCTCTTTGCTAACACATTCAAAACTGCAGGTTCTATCATTTTGTGATTTTAGATTTAGGCTATTTGCCAGCTTTTTTTTTTCCAAATAAAATTCTATGTAATTTATTTTTCTTAATGTTGTTAGTGTACTTTATGAAGGCACATTACCAGTATTTTAATCACATAGTCATCTGGATATCTTATCAAGTAGCTTTTGACAGAGCAAAAATGACTGTCCTGTAATTGGAGTTCACTGAAGAATTTGCCTTTCTGGATCCGTGTTTATTTTCTAATCCTTAAAATTACAAACAAACAAGCAAAAAAAGGCTGCTTTTATTAAAGATTATCAGAAACTCAGAAAGGAACATAAGGCTTTAAAAAGATAATATAAACATCCGTCAAGAAACACATGTTGAAGACTGAGGAAAATTCTTGAACTTTCCTCACAGCTTCCAATGTTATGCAATAGAGGATAATCTTACTCAAGATTTTGAAAGATTAATGGATGCCAGCTTCAGAGAGCTCCTTTTACCTGGTAAGTCTTTTTCTATTGTATGCCAAAAACTACACTAGTGCAACATTAAGGCTTAGAATTTGATGTGCAAGAGCTGCTAAATTTGAGATTTACTGTAGACTTAACTCTCCTTCTCACAAGTACTTCATGATTTTACAGAAAATCAAGGCTCTAGAAGGGACACAAATTATAATAAAGAATTCATAGTTGAGCTTCTGTGAGTATCTCTGGTGTATATTGAATCTTCCTTGTTATCAAAAGCAGAAATATATATTGTTAAAGACTTGCATCAACAACGTGATAAGAACTTTCAAATAATTGTTATTTTCTTTAGAAAGGATGAGTTATCTAGAAATTGCAAAATATTGTGGGATTCTGTTTACAAGAGACAATAGTTTGCATAGTGTCAAGCAAGGCAAGCAGGCGGAAAGAGACTTTAGCTTGTAGCACTGTGGTTAGACCACTTAACTGAGGTGAGACTCAGATCTTTGCTTCAGGGAACTTTTTCCTTGCATAAAAAGAAAAAGGAACTCCACTGAAGAAATGGAGAGGCTCAGTCCATAATAGCAAGTTGAACACCCTACTGAGGTCTAAGTTATAGATTGGAAGAAGGTGAAACATAGTCCTACAAGGAGCCTCTCTTCTGCTGCGGGTGAACGCTGGAAGGATTGTATGTGTGTGCGTGTGACAATTCTGTGTTGTGTCCCTAGTTTCCGAAAGGATTCTGGTTTTGTTTTTTGGCAAAACAAGCACATTTCTGAAGTAGAACATTCCCTCAAAATAATTTTCTGCCTACAAAATGTATTCTAGTTTAAATGAGAAACCTAGATGTTATTCTTTACCAAGTAATACATGATAATGCAGTGTTGTATGGTGTAATAATTGTGACAGAAGGTGGAGTTCATGTCTTGTGAAATTCCTGACTTCGGATTTCAAATATCAACCTTAATGTTGTATTAATGTATTTTTTGTACATCATTTCCTGTGAAAATCTCCAGAAAAAGAAAAAAAAAAAAAGCACAGTTAAAGTGACTAAAACTTTTTAATGCAGCATTTTCTAGTATGCAGTGCTGTACGAGTGGAATCAAGTTTTCCAAATACAGCAGCTGTACTCATCAGTACAGTTTGGTTCTTACTACTCTCTTTTAGCAGTTAACTTTCACTTCATTTTAGTCTTATTAAAATGACCGTGGGTCAAATGAGAATAATTGAAGGAATCCAGCAAGGGGCTAAAACGTGTGGCTTTTGTGTTCACATGGATCAGGTTTATATACAGTGACAAAAGAAAGTTGCATCAATATTTGTTCTTCTTATGCAATAGTTTGTTGATTCTGTAGAGAATGGTACAGAACTACATACACATAAGGCATACAGATTTTGGTGATCATTCAAAGAAGATGCTGCTGCTAGGAAGACCCACTGTGTGGTGTCAGGGAACATAAAACAGTGCAACCAGAATGCAAGATGTTTCAGAGTAGTGTCTCATTTATGATTTGGCCACTTAATGTTTAACATGGAAAAAAGATAAACAGTTTTAATTGGAAAGTTCTCTTCCAAGTATCCTGCAAGTGCTCCTACCATCCTGCTTTTTTGTCTTACTCATAATTTGCTCGCCTTAGGAAATAATTATATTTGTTTGTGGCATTGTTGCTAGAATGTTTTCTATGACTGGTTATAAATGGCAAATGGCAAACTGATAAGAAAAGAATTACTGTTGTAAAGAAGTGTTTAGCAGTCCCTGCTTTAAGTAGAAGCTCCACTGGGTAAAAATTGATTGCATGATATTTATAAATGTCAGTCTGTACATGTGTTTCCAGAGATAGGTGCTTTTGAACATTAATGTGAAGATACTATTCTTAGAATAAGTATATTGTATATGCTATGGATGTGGATGTGCTGTTCTTAAAATATGACAGTTTCAAAACTGAAAGGTTGATTGATGTCTAATAATTAGTGCTCATGCTGCATAATTAGTGCTCTTAAGTATAACATAGCAAGTGTAAAACTAATGAATTCCATACTTTGGTTAGCATGCATGTAAACACCACAGTTTTCAATGTACTATGTATGAAATTACAGTCATATGTTTTAAAGGAACTTATTGCTCTATAAAACTGTCCTGGCTGCCTGTACATAAAAATGTCAAATTGCCTCACTCTAGTAAGTGTAGGGAAGAAAGTAGAATGAAAGGTTATAACCATGATGCTGTCTTTGAAACAGCATTTTCTTTGAAGGAAATGTAATGTGTCCTTCGCCATGTGAAGAAATATGTCAGTTAACAAGGTCATAAACATTTTAATCGAGTAGTTACTTACTTTTCAATGCTGCTGATTGTTTTGCAGTACCAATTGTAAAGCAGACTTGGGAAAGAGAGGCTGCCCTTATTGAATACTACAGTGATTATGCAGAAATCTCCATTCCCACTATAGACCTAGGAGTGCCTAATACTGACAGAGGTGAGCTGCTGACTGTTGTTCTCAGTATTGCATGAATTACTGTATAAAGATGGTAAGTTTTTGGCATAAGATGTATGTTTCATGTACAGTATATAATTTAGAAATTCTGTATTTCTGTAGTACACATTCTTGCAGTTGAAACAGAAAGATTACTTTTCACACGCAAGAAGTGGATGGAGAGTGCAACTTACCAATTTGGACAGATTATTTATTTATTTATTTATTTTTAAGTAGAAGCCTAAATATTTTAAGTTAAATATTAAATAAAAGCAAGGTGTGATTTCTTTACCCTAGGAGAGAAAAAATGTGTTATTGCTGTCTGCCCACTGTTTGCATAAGGTTTGTTAATGGTGGCAATATGTGATAGGTTTAGGACAAAAGACCTCAGGCAGTGCCAGCTGGGTACTTATCATAAACTGCTTGGCATCTGGCATTTGGATATTAGGTGCTTGTATCTGGTATGTCTTATTTAAGCATAAAAGCCAAATGTTAATATTGAAATAACTTTTGTAATGACAGTGTAGTAGGTTTAAGGTAGTAACTTGCTTCATCTTTGAATAGCAAAAGAGCCATGTATAGGATGGCTTCAGACATTCTTTTTAATGTCTTTTTTGTTTTTTTCTCATATTTGAACTATTTCTCTAAGCCTGTAAAGTCTACAAGCCTATTACCTTCTGCATTAGCATTGCCCGAGCTGTGGCCTGTTAGCTTTGTCTATGCCATTAGGTGAGTTGTTCTGGTCTTTGTTTCCAGCTGCCCTTTTTTCCTCAGGGCTCATCAGAGGCACTTGGGAATGGGCAAGGATTTCTGTTTGCACAGGTATCGTGTAGCACATGTGCAACCTGTAAGTGTTTTCAGGAGGTGGCAGGTCTGCTGTGTCCGCATCTATTATCTATAGAAGTTGCACTCGCTATTTACGGTCACACCATGAGGGATGGACCTTCTGCATCCACCTTAGAGCATTGCTGGGGTAACCGGTGGGGCCTGGGGGTCCTGGTGTCCCAAACTACACAAATTGTGCTGAGTCTGTTATAATACTACTTATGGCCACCTTTCATCATGAAATACATATAAAAATATTGGTTTTAATTTTGTATATCTCTATATATCAATCTGAATTATGTCCATGGTTTCACAAAGTAATGACAGCCGGGATTTCCTTTATTTCTTAAGCAAAGAGAGAGATACTGCATTCCATTTAAATGGAAGTAGCTTCACGTGTCTTGTATCATCTTTATGTTTTAATGCTTATTTAGTAGGATTTATTGAAAATGATAATTGATTTAGATAATTATCTGTTGTTTAGATGAAGAAAGAATGCAGTTGGATTTTCCTTTCCTTCGAAAATATTCTGCAGATGTCTGAATGGAGCTTTTTGTTTCTGTTATCTGACTCATTCTAATCAAGGGTGTTTTACTCTCAACTTCGTGGATAGTCTTTATGTTAAATATTAAGATCTTTCCTCTGAGGAAGTGACCAGGACCTGAGTTGTTAGTTATGAATACGGTTTATCAGGTGCTTGCCTGTGAATAATTAAGTCTATATTGATGTGATGTATCATGAAATCCTATCGGTGGGTAGGTGGGTTGGTGTGTTTAAGCAGTACTTCAGTATCACTTTACATTCATGGATGTTGGAGTAATTTGCAAAAGAAATTTCTGTTTTCGTCTTCCCTTTTTACAGTTTTGGGAAGTATGAGAAAGTTTCTCCCAAATGTCCCACAACTTCACAAAAAAGCTGGAAATGCCGCTTGCGGCCCAGGTCTCCTTAATTCAAATAACGTCTATTTTTTCTTACTCCTCTTCATTTAGGTCACTGTGCAAAAACTTTTGCCATTTTGGAAAGGTTTTTGAATCAGAGTTCTTCCAGAGTTCCTTGGTTAGTCATTGTGGATGATGACACATTGATAAGGTATAAATTGCAGTATTTCATTGTTCATCCTGACAGGACTTTTAGAAATTTTCAATTCTTATTCTATATTTAAGACATAAATCTTTTTTAGTAGTTATTCAGATTTATATTCTTTAAAGAAAAATAAAAAGTCACTTTTTCAGAATTCCTTGACTGATTGTAACTTGATAAAAACTATGCAAATAGTGTTACTATGTAATCACGTAGCTGAAATACGTGAAGGTCTTGTTTTTGTTTGATGGAGCATATATGAGCTGATTATTGTTAGTCATTTGTTAATACACTTTATAAGATGTATTCCTCACATAAAATAGTCAAAAAAAAAGGTTGATTCTCAGAGCCACCTGGAACTGTGTCCAGGGACTTGCCTTTGTCAGAAAATGAGATCACTTTCAGATGAGAAGTAACTTTTTTATGATGAGAAGCTTGGAGTTCTCGATCTCTCTCCAGAGTAGATTGCATATATGTTTGTCATTGCTTTCAAGAAATGAACAAGATGAGAATTTGAACCATACCGGAGAAACAAAACATTCAAATATTCAGCTTTAATCAAGTTCCTTGAAGTGAACCCTTTAAGAAGGGTGTAATATTTCAGAAAATCTGGGAAGTAGCATTCATCACCAAAGAAAAAATGCCTAGTTATGTTAAGTTTAGCAAGAACATGCATCAACATACAATTCCCTCTCAGGCAAGAGAGTTCGTAGAACTTAGAGCAAATTAAAAAGCATGAATCAAAACTGTTAAGATTAAAATAAAGTTGGATTAGGTACATTTATTGTGTGAGAAAATTGGATCAGTGAGAACTGAAAGATGGTGGCCGTGTGACAAAGCTGGCATTTAGTAAGATAAATGAATGTGTGTTCTGTGACACAGCAGTAGGAGAGAGAAAGAAGGCAGAGTAATCAGTGAGCAGGATCGCATATTCATGAACAAGAGAGATTGATCAAGATAATATTTTTGATTTATGATAGAATAATTTAGAGGAGCCTATAACTAAAGATAAAGAATGATTCTTAGAATTAAATCAACCCTTTAGTTTCTTTTGGTTTCTGAGAAGAAAAGATCATTTGCAAAGTTCTTTTTTTTTTTTTTTAAATAATTGCATGCTTTCTTTGAGGTGAAATTCTGTTTTGCTGAGAAACTTGTCTGCCTCTCTTGAGAAATAATTACAAGCTATTTGATTCACCATTCGACCAAATCTAAAAATCATTTATCATAGTAAAATTATGATAATTTCATTTTTTGTAGAATTTCTGAATTTTCCCTGTTATTTTTGTGCTGTGTACTATAATGCCATTTAGACTAGTAATCTAAGGATATTAAATCTGTTTCAAAGGAAATGCCTGCATGAACTAATATCTTTTTTAATTTGATAAACTTTCATATTATAGCATCTCCAGACTCCGAAAGCTGCTCAGCTGCTATGACCCAAATGAACCAGTATTTCTTGGAGAGCGTTATGGTTATGGCTTGGGAACAGGAGGATATAGTTATATCACTGGAGGAGGAGGGTAAGTTAATTTAACTCCTACAGAAATCTGTATACGTCACTGGCTGTTTTGATGCAAGTGTTTTAAATTAATGTTTTGAACAAATCTGATGAAACAGAAATAGTGTTGTTTTCTAATATGATTAAAACACAGTGATGGTAAAAAAAAAAAAAAAAAAAAACCCACAAGTGTAAGAAGTTATGCGGCCCAATGGGAACAGATTTGCAGAGTGAAGCAGTGGCTAGTGAGATCCCCCATTCCAAGTGCCAGGGCTCTTTTGCTCGGCCAACCCTGTTGCCTGAGAGCCGGTTTTCAGTAGCAAGGGCACCACGTGCCCTCCTGTAGCTCACACGTCACACAGCCACGTTGCACCTGATGGACTTCATTTTGTGAAGCAGAGCGTCATCAGTGGAGACAACCGGCATATTTACTTAAAGAATGCTCTGCATTTTTATGTATGGAGGGAGCTCTGTGTAACACATGCGATAAGGAATGACATTTAGGCTTAGATTTCTTTCCTTTTCATTTAATTGCTACATGATAACCAACCAGGCAATATATTTGAGTAAGATAAAGAGAAATCTCCCTTTGAAAGTCCTGGCCAGATATAGGAACAGTGAGCAGCTCTAAAAATGGTCACCTATGTAATTGCTTGAATAACAGCACAACTAATTGTTATTACCTGCAGCACTTAGCTTTCAGAAATGCATCAAAAAGTGGTGGTTAAATTGTGAAATGTCAGTTATGTTGCACCAGGGGTTGTATTTCATCTTGCAATTTGTATCACTTAGCAATATTCCGTCAAGATGTGACTAGAGATTTTTGGCTGCTGTGTTATTTGTTGTCTTACACTCTTCATTTGCTTCTATTTTTCAGCATGGTCTTTAGCAGAATAGCTGTCCAGAAACTTCTTGCTAGTAAATGCCGGTGTTACAGCATGGATGCTCCTGATGATATGGTCCTTGGGATGTGCTTCAGTGGCTTAGGAATCCCTATAACACATAGTCCACTCTTTCATCAGGTCAGAGAATTATTTTTAATACTATTTAAAATATATTTCATTCTCTTAAGTATACAGTTAATACCAGAGTTGATATGAAGTAGACTAATGAATTAGTATTCTATAAAGTAGACTTATGCCTAACAATTGTAACCAAGATACTGCTACTCTACCTTATACCTTTCCAGGGATAGTTTGATCAAGCAAATAAATATATTTTCAAAGCGTGGATTATTACAAAGCTTTAATAGATTTATATCCCAGCTCCCCTGTGGCTACATATTACAAAAACCACAGTCACATTGGCACTTCAGATATTAGATATAATTAGGAGCCACTTCTTTAAATACTTATGATATGGCCTCTAAGGGGAAAAAGCACCCCTACATAACAATCTTTTTTTCCTTCAGATAATGGAGTATTGACTGTGACTTATTTAATCTATCATCTATGCTTATCCAACTTTTGTATCAATTTATTTTTTTCTATTCTAATAAATTTTCTATTTTTTCTATTCTATTTCTATTTTCTCCTATTCTAAATATTACTAAAGACACTTAATATAAATTCAGTATTTCTAGCATTGTTACTTTCATGCTGGATTTTGAAGAATGATATAAATAGCTCTTCATAAATTGGCCAGGACATAGGGCAAGGAATAAAGAGGTCATAAATCACAATTTTTCCAAACGCAAAATTACACTTGAATTGTAATTCTTCTTTTCTGTTGCTTACAATAAATTCTGAATTAACATATTTGCAACAAAATTTGCAACAAAAGTCAAGGATGGAAAGAAACTACTGAAGAAAAATTTCAGTATACTTATTCCATTATGCAATTAAGATTTTTAAAATGAGAAAAAAAATCAAAATCAGTAGTTCTGTCAACTCGAAAATTATTTTTGAAAAGACTATGATGTCTATGATGTACAATATGATGCCTGGAAGTTGATGAAGCAAAATTCTACTAAGTAATTACTATGAAAGACAGGCAAAGAATATTTCCATCCTTAGAGTGTCCATGATATGGTATAACTCGTGCTCTTTCTTACTGTTTTCAAGTTTGTTACATATTAATGTGGACATACATATTGTAGCCAGTTCCAGAGGCTTTTTAAATGATGAGGCTCTTAGAATAGCTTGAAAAGAACAGCTCTTGGCCTAGGCCCAATAGCTTTCTGGATTGTGGTCTTAAAATATATGTTCTGGGCAAGAGTGTATTTATAAAACACCAAATGAAAACTGGAGCACACACACCAAATAAAAAAAAAAGTGTGTGTGTGTGTTTGTGTATAAATATATCTATTACCTATATCACAAAATGTAAGAAAGGAAGAGAAAGTAGAAAAATAAATTCGAAGAATGTATACATTTGGGACAGTCACTGATAAAGCAATATTATTCTTAGAGCAATGTAATAAACATAATATTTGTTGTAGCAGATTTGAGTCCCTGCAAATTACCAGAGCACCTAAACTTTGTGTATTATGTCTGTAATTGGCTGATTGCTTTTTCAAACTGGAAAAGCTCTTGCTCTCAGAAACATAAAAGCTATTCCTATCCAAAGCAAATTGCAGGAAATTCTTAACATCGTGGGAAGCAAGATGTTGTTCAAAGATAGCTTTTCCAAAAGCCTTAGAGGAGACAGGCTCCCTTGATGCCTGCAAAGGAATTTTGATAGGTAAGCACACTTGTGGCTTAAATATCAAAGAATCTCCCTACTCCCACCTCCTCCACAAACAGATTTCTTAATGTCAAACTACATTGCCTGATTTTCTGACTGAAATGTGCATAGAGCAGCAGCAGAAATGCAGCATGTGGCAACCACAAGCAGCAACAAGAGGACGATATTAAATCAGTCACAAGCTTAGGTGTCAAATCAGTGATTCAGTATCCTCACCTCCTTGTTTTCCTACTATTTTTACATCAGGAAAGAATGAATATATCTTTTATTAAATTGTTTTTTAAATGCTGGTATTAAGTGCTTTCTGAATAAGATTGTGCATGTCTGTTTTGCTTTTCATTAAAATTCTTTTTTCAATGGTAAAATCTGATTATTTAACCAGGACCTGCTACAGATGGAACTTTTGTTTTAAATAACAATGTACTTGCTTCATATTAAATTGTCAAAGGGAACATGAAATATGCATCATGTGGGCTTGTTGCAATTCAGCCTCTTGATATAACCTGAAAAAGACCAGTGCGTTTTTGGCAGTAGACTGGCTTTGGTAATCTTTTCCTATCACAAAACTTCTTATTTGATTTGATATTGGCAGCATTGGCGTCTCTCGGTAAGAGGAAGGACAGAGAGTATTGCTGGAAAGTATTTCTCATCATTGAATCCAGACTTTGCATTTAAAGAAATGGGGTGTAAGCTACGCTGCTGCTCATCCCTTGCTTTTTCAGCTGGTGTCTGTTTATTCCTGAGCAGCCAGGCATACCTGGTGTTAATATGTGTGGTGACTTCAACCCAAGTTGCCACTGTTTAGGTTTTGTGGAGTATGTCAGTGCTCCATTGCTTTATGATGATACTGAATTGAATGATAGTGAATGGTGATACTTTCTTGTTCTAAAAACAGCTCTGAGTTACTGAGTAGCTGCGTTTTTGTTTCATCCTTCTCTCTTAGGCACGGCCAATGGACTATCCAAAAGACTACCTTTCTCACCAAATTCCAGTATCGTTCCACAAACATTGGAATATTGATCCAGTGAAGGTATATTTCACATGGCTGGCACCAAACACAGAAGATTCATTTTATGGAAAGAAAGCTGGATATAACAGGGAAGATTTATAAGCAGAAGAATAATTTAAATTTCAGTTAATGTACTGAAAATGAGAGACAGTCAGTAACTGTGATTTTTTTTGTCGTTCTTCTATATTGTTCATCTGTTCATGACATAGAAGATAATATTTTGTTTCCGTTTGTTACAACGCTTCAGAGCAATAGAAGGCGGCACCTCACTGATTTTTCTATTTCTTTTTTTAAGCTTAGTTTCTTTTATAATATCTCATACAGCATTATCTACGTTTTGGACTTTGTCAGGCATCAACTTACATTTTCTTCCTTATTGTCTCATGAGCAGAAATTCTTTATTGCCTAATATTGAACATTCATAGGCCTCACTGACTTCAGAAAACAGTTCTCTAAACTCTTCTGGAGCAGGTCCTTGGTAATTCAGAGATGTGACTTTATTTCTATGACCAGGAGCTATACTGAGTGAGGACTGTGCCCTTTGAATACTCATTTCAAACAGGAATATTGTGGTTTCATGGGATAGGTGGACAAGCCGTGCACCGCTGTTGTACCTTGAAGATGACTAGCATTTGTGATGAAAGTGACATTCAGAATGTCAAAAGGTAAAAAAATGGGATTTTTTAAGTGTCCATGAGAAGTCCCTGTGTCTCCTTTAGAAAATGTATGTCACTGTGTATCTATATGGTCAGTACAAATGTGTTTGTTAAGGACTTCTGAAAAACAAACACTTCGGTATTTCTGTGTGCATTTCCACAGTATATGGATGCCAGCTTTAAAAAAATTGCAATATTCCTAATTTATATCAGCAAGTAATTTGGTGCATACAACATGTAAAGAGGGATTTGTATTTAAAATATTCTTGATTTTTTTCTTTGTGTAATTCAGTCTTGTAAAATTGTACAAAATCTGTCTTTAGTATGTTTTAAACTAATTTTTATACTGTAGAACTGTTCCCTTTAAGACAACAGAATATGGCACTTGTATGCTCTTACCTAACTTCCCTTGCTGCACTGTAACCAAATACAGGGTCTGAAAGCCCTACTGCTGAAGTCACTTGTGCTTTGTGTTGCACTATCAGTAGGTTGCAATTTGGATTCCATTCCAGCGTGATGCAGCACTTGCTTTGGATTTAAAGCCCTGAAACCACTGATTCTTGTTTCAGTAATTACTGAAGTTATCTGAACACTTGCTTGTGAATGGGGCTTGTGGAAGCACATATTTATAATAGATTCAAATACTGATTACATAGGAGTAGCCCACATTGTGTTTTTTTTATTCTTTCTTCCTCAAATCAGTGCCTTAAACAGTAGACATTTTGCTGATACCAGGACTATGTTCTCTGGTACTGTGGATGTATCATTAACTCTTTACTGTTTAGAACTGAGAGAGCCGAAAGCCGAATAAAAGCCTCCTTGTTTAACCTGGTGTGCCTTCTTCCTCTTTGCAAGCAACTTGCACCGAGATATTTAAGCACCCTTATCATAATTTTGTCAGCTGAATAATATTCTAAGTTCAGTGCTGCTAAAAGCTAGTTTAAGCATTTTATTTCTTTCAAAACCTCGTCCTAACACATTTCCCTAGGTGAGATAATTTTTTTAGTATCTAGTTATGTGCAAGTGAAAAATGTTTTCCTAGTGAGCTCCTCACATATAATTGGGAATCCTGATGCTCTCACACAAAACAATCCAAATAAATATGTATATGTGTATTAAATATCAAGTTCTCCGGAGGTCTTCTAATGTAGTCACATCACTTCCAACTTGAGTAGGGGCGATATTTGACATCTCTTTGGGTACATCAGGCAAAGCTGGTTGGTTTGGGATCCATGCTGTGTTGCCCTTGGCTGCTTCCTCTTTTTTTAGAGCTTGGAAGCCACTGATTCAGTCTTATTTTGCTTACTTGCTTCTTCAGAGTTTTTCTTTTGACACAACAAATACAGTAGGTGTTTAAAGACCATCCTTTTTCTCCAGCAACAGCATTGCAAAAGAGTATGACAAAAATGACCTTTTATTCCACGGACAAAAGTGCAAAACAAGACTTCAAAATCACAGTGAAGTTTTGAAAACAAGATGCGAAGCCTTCAGTGCTACCGTTACTTTTAGAATGCAGAGCAGAGCATTACTCTGTTCTCCAAGGTGAACAGAGCAGTATAAATGGTTCTGTGGTGAATATGAGCAGTATAAATGTCTCCAATAAAAGTCAAGGGGAGCTTAAACAGAGTATTTCAAAGCAAGGAAAGAGAAAGGCATTCCACAAGTCATCTTCGTAACAGACTAAAATGGGGCGGCTCAGGGCCCTGTTTTCCAGAAAGTTCCACAGCTGTTACATTAAAAAGAAGTCATTGCGGGGAGTCAAATGTGGTGATAACATGGAAAATTAGCATGTGTTACAATATTTCTATGATGGATTTTTCTGGATAATTCGATTGATTGTTTAATGTACTTCAAATTTGCAACAAATACTGATGCCTTCACTATAGCCAGGCATGTAAATGATGAGTAACAGGGTGCCTGAGCCTCAGGATGGAGCAAGTGCAGGCGAGAATAACAATGGCCACGAGCCTTCAGCAGAGGCAGGGAAGAAAAACTGGATTTGAGTATGGAGAGCCCCAAAGAACTGACCCTCGTTCCAACTGCCGTACGAAAGGCCAGACGCGTGAGGCAGCCTCCATCGGAGCGGCGTTTCATGCAGGACAGCTCTGCTCTGACACCAGTTCTGCTGCTCGGCTGCAGGGAGGAATCTAAATGACTGTTTTCCATTTCTTTTTACTCTTGTATTAGGACTTGCCTTATAATGGTTGGAATGAGAATATGTTGTAGCTAGAGGCCCAGGACTACATTCCATTAGATGCCCCAAGAGTGAGAGCAACACCAGGTAAGGACTGCCTTAATGGGCTACTGCAAAGTGCCCCCAAGTAATGCTGCATCATTAATAACAAAACTAAAAAAAAGAAAAAAAAAAGTTTTTTAAAGGCACAGAAAAGTGGCAAGAGGTTAGCTTTTTGTGACACCGTAAAAGGCTACTGTTTGCAGCACCCTATGCTAATAAATACATTCTGGGTCGTTTTAATAGAACTGCTTCTTCATATAAATGTTAAATAACTGAAAGAAATTTAGAGTAATGAACAAAATGTGCCTTGATGACCCGTGACATGTCACAGATTTGCTGAGGAAACTAACAGCACTTGCACCTCTGCTGCTGCCAGCACCTAGTGCAGGCCTAGCTCTCAGGTCACACCACAAGGCTGCTGCAACCTTCCCAGCACACACGTACCTTGTTCTCCTCACCAGTCACAGTGATGATGATACCATTGAGAACATACTTCATTCATTAAATAAAATAGATGCAATATTAGTTTGTAGGTAGCTAATTTTTCTATTTAAACTTGTTTTGTGTTGTGTAGAGTACATACAGAGACCAGCTTTATTTATACAGTGATAAACAGCGTGTAAGTAGCTACTTGATGGTTAAGTTTGTGTCTACTGAAAAAATAAATGTTCCCACTTTTCAAATCTCAGACTGTGGTTTAAAAGAAGACCTATGGCCCTAGAAACCCATGAGACTAGAGCAGGGAGGCAAAAGTGAGCTTTGTTTTTGCATCTAACGCTTATATTCAGTTCCTTAACTCTCACTACTTCATCTGCGTCTCTGTTAGAGTCAGGAGGCCAAAGAGATCTCTTCAGATTTACTACGACCTGCATCTACATGGCAAGAATGGAACAGCTTTGGTGGAGTGGCTGTAGTTTAGTTACTCTTGAACACTAGGGAAAAGATACCTTAGAAATAATATCTTTAAAGAGGGAGCAGTAAGTAGACAGAACACAATTGTGTTCACAGGCCAAAAGCACTCAGCATCAACAGAGGAAGGAATTCTCTGGAAGGCCTGTTATGGAGAGGAGTGATAGGAGATTACATCCCTTGCATATCATGAAACATTCTCTATGGACTATATGTAGGCATGCTGGTTTTGCAGGATAAACAAAATAAGTGTTAGACTATTTCTGGGAGAAGGAGATTAAAATGAGTGCTAATATATGTGAAGGCTTAAGAGCCTAACTTTCACACAGACCAGTTAAAGAAAGTAAAAAGCTCTAAGTTATTAACTTGAATCATAAACATATTAAAAATATGGAATGTAAACAAAAATCAATAAATATTTTTTTCTACATGGAAATTATCTTCAATTAATTAGTCTGTTGCATTTTGATGTATTTTTATCAAACAGCTGCAGCTTTGCAGGAACATCTGTTGCTCATTGCTGCCCAGGGACAAAGGGTCCTTTTTTCTCTTCATGTGAAGCAGTAATGGAGTGATCTGGTAATTGCTGTTGTGTATTTGTATAGTAATATCAAATCACCAATTACAGTCTCTTTAAGTAAAGCACCAGCATGGAAGGTTTCTGTAGGCACCCATCTGTGAGGCTAAAGTAAGGTTTCTTTTACCCCAAATAGTCACTAAGGACAGGACATTTATTTTCATTCCTGTCTTTATTCTGAGTTGAACATTTTTACCTTCTAGGAAGACTCCCTGAAAAATCCCTATGCTACAGGATAGAGAGTGGGACTTTTCCAGTGTCTTCTACTGATGGTGTTTGAGTTTCTACCAGTGGCTACCAAAGCTTTTCACTTAGAAGTAAATAGTAAATACTTAATAGTAAATATAAAAGAGAGAGAAAGCTGCAGCCTATTGCAGTGAAAGGATGCTGTAGTAAGAAGTCATGCTATGACTGAAGTTCTCAGCCATTCTTGCCAATTACTCATGGTTTTTTTCTTGCCAAGCAATTGAGGACCATGATCCAGGAGTAAGGGGAAGGGCCATATAAGTTTGGAAGATGTGTTGGACGGTTCATTGGACTGTAGTCTTGACAGATAAAGGACTAAGCAGTCTGTCCACACTAAAGTGCACCCTTTAGGAAGGATCTCTCCTTGCAGCAGGAACTCAAGTGCTAGACCTAATTCTACTGGGCCAGGCAGGCACTGCACAACCACACGGGAATGTTCTATCTGGTACCTGCTCTGCAAAGCCCGCAAGAACAGCAAGAGGTACAGGACCAGCCCGGGGCCTCGAAGAGCTCATGCTGCTCTTGCTTCAGTTTTCTGTTCCCTGGTTAGTTATGTAACAAAAAGTTAGTAAGGAATATGATAAGTC